ATATTTCAGCGCGTAACTGAATTATCTTGAAATATCAGTTTCAACCGAACAAAAGACCCGGTAAAGACGTTAACAACTTGCAAGTACCAGTCTCAATAAAACAGATATGAATATAATGAGATTGAACAACTACTCAAATAGTTGTAGCCCAAGATCGTACTAACTACACAATTCGACAGCGATACAAGACAAAAGTCTGTAAATTAACGTCCAAACTGACAGAGATGTCTGCCGAAGGGGGCGGTGTGACAATCTAATTATGCCAATTATTATTGGTGTGCGTGCGATCCGCAATAATCCAGGGCCCCATTTCACAAAGCGATCGTAGCGCTAAGGTCATCGTAACTCCCATACTTTGATATAGACAGTCGTAGCGATACGATCGCTTTGTGAAACGGGCCCCAGGCAAAGAAGCGACAACCCACGTGTGTCGTAAGAGGCGTTTCAAAAAACGTAGCATGGTAGAAAGGTCAAGCTCGCTGACTTGGTTAAAGCATGTCATCGTTTCCTAACTGCGTAGATCGCTGCTAATGATCTGAATCACTGGATTCTCTGGCTCGAAAACTGCCGCCATAAAACAGGAATATTGTTGAGTGCACAGGGGCGTGTCTCGCTCAGAAACAGTGTTAGAAGGACATATAGGTGTATAGACCCTATACATCCTTTTATATAGTAATAGGGTTGGGTCTATACACCTATATGTCTTTCTAACGCTGTTTCTAAGCGAGACGCTCCTATGGTTGAGTGTGGCGTTAGACAATAACAAAGTAGCATCAAAATAATTAATAGTCGTAGTAGCAACGTCAGTGATAGTATACATAGAAATACATGTAGTAGTAATGGCAGTAGGTCGATATAGTGGAAGAAAAGCATTGAAATAGCTGTAGAGGTAGCAGCAGTTGAGAAAGTTGCAGTGGTTAGTGGTAAAAGCAGTACTGATTGTTGTAGCAGTAGTTGTCGCACTTGTAGAATATGTAGTTGAAGTTTGTTTTAAGTAGTATTGGGGCGGTGGGGTAGCCTAGTGGTTAAAGCGTTCGCTCGTCATGCCGAAGACCCGGGTTCGATTCTCCACATGGGTGCAATGTGTGAAGCCCATATCTGGTGTCCCCTGCCGTGATGTTGCTGGAATATTGCTAAAAGCGGTGTAAATCCCAACTCACTCACTTACTCATCTAAGTAGTAGTAGTAGTAGTAGTAGTAGTCGTAGCAGCAGCAGCAGCATCAGTAGTAGTATACCTATAACCATTCAAGTCACAAAAGGAGATCACCCATTTTCAATTTCAATAGTCTTCAGAAGCAGGCATAAAGGATGAGCTGCTGACATCGTTGCAACTGTACGACAGCAGTGATGCTTTGGCCATATGTTTGTGACTTGCAAGTCACACTCAAGAACACTTTCCCAAAAATATGCTTAATTTGCTTTTGTTTTGTTTTTGTTTTGTAAGATAATCCCCAAACACTTGGTGAGAACTTTCTTTTGTACTTCAGGTCTTACATACTGTGTTCTGTTGTTTTCTATATACACATTTCAAGGAACAATGTCACACGTTTTCGACAATATTTTGGCCTATATTAAATATATTGGGGCATATGCACTTTACTTTAGCTTGAAGTTCCTATTGATGCAATAAACAATTTATTATCCCTTGCGACTTGCCTGAAATCGATAATGGAAACTTCGAGGCGAACAGCTTCCAAACAGAGAACACTTGTCATATAAAGAATGTAAACAATTGCTCCGTACATCGAAAACTGTCGCACGCGGTGTTGACGGTGTTTGCCGAAGTGGTTTCAATCACAAGTTGTGCTTAGGATGTGCGAAAAGAGCAATCCAAGGGACATACCTCTATGAGGTTCGCTTGAAATAATGTTTGGCCGGTAGAGGGCGCGAGAGTCGATTTGATGCAACGTTGCATTACTTCATTCGAAGTTTTAAATTCAATATTGTACTCTAAATACGTATTTTTTTTAAAGAATAAATCATATGGTAGCTTCCCCGAGGCTGATTGTTAGTATTATTGAGAGAAATGCATTATATATTTTTAGAGAAGTGTGGCGTGATATAGTGCCTTTAACTTAATTATATGAAACCCTGTGCTATTCCTCGCGTTATTATTATACCTCAACACAAGCTAACTCCATGAAATCTTCAGACTGGAAATCCAATTTGTCCACTAACTCAGTGGCCGTTGAGAAGGGTTTGCGGCCAAATTTGAAATAATCAGATAATGGTTTTGAGGAGCAGATATTCTATTTCTTCTAAAACACCTAATATCATTTTTCATACTATCCTCAAGCCTCGTTGCGATTCTCTTGGGTTTCATAGAAGATCAATAACATTTCCCTAATGGATTAATTCTTGCTGGCAATGAAGTAACACACGTCTCCCCCAGCCACCTTCTCTGCTGAGCCTAGAGGATACGATTACATTTATAACTATTAATTCAAAAAGATATTCTGTAGCAAAAAGTGGCTGCCGAAAAGGGATATGTTCCTTATTTTCGTCAGTGTCTCCTGCGGGCAGTGTGATGCAATGAGTGTATTATTATATTAGCACGTTTTCCAAGGTCGATGTATTTTATTCATTTGGATTGATATCTAAGAGAACGATCACTTGAAACTGGGTGGGATGTTGGTTTGGGGAGCGGAGTGGGGTGGGGTTATGGTTAGGGTGGTTAGATTTTAATTCGAGACAAGATATTTTGTACGGCTTGATGATTCGAGCGTTCGCTCGGCACGCCGTAGACCCTGGCTCGTTTCCCAACATGGGTACAGTGTGTGAAGCCCATTTCTGTTGTCCTCCGCAGTGATATTGCTGAAATATTGCTAAAGGCTGGTTAAAACCATACTCACCCACTCACTAGTTCCAGAAGTGTAATATCATATTTGAGAATATATACCCACAACATCCAATCTGAGCCCAGAACAATGCCTAATGTCTTCTGGGCAGTCTGAAACCTAACGAGGAATGCATAAAACTATTTTCACCGTGATACTGCCACTACTTATACCGTGACTAAGGACATAGCTCTGTATCAATCTGATCCCTGCCTCTTGAACTATATTTAGTCCGTCTTAATGGGCCGGTTGGGTAGCCTAGTAGTTAAAGCGTTCGCTCCTCACATCGAAGGCCCGGACCCGTGAAGATCCGGGGTAGAATAGGTCTTCAGCAACCCATTCTTGTCATAAAAGGCGACTAACGGGATCGGGTGGTCAGGCTCACTGACTTGGTTGACACATGTCATCGGTTCCAAATTGCGCAGATCGATGCTCATGCTGTTGATCACTGGATTGTCTGGTCCAGACTCGATTATTTACAGACCGCCGCCATATAGCTGGAATATTGCTGAGTGCGGCGTAAAACTAAACTCACTCACTCACTCGAAGGCCCGGGTTCGATTCCCCACATGGGTACAATGTGTGAAGCCCATTTCTGGTGTCCCCAGCCGTGATATTGCTGGAATATTGCTAAAAGCGGCAAATTGACTCACTCATAACCTTTAATGCGTCCCGCGTCAGGTTGTACAGCTCTGACCGGAGACGAGTGGTATAAAACTTCACGATGTACGCTTAAACCACACATACCATGCATGTTTATCTTGTCGACAGATTTCAGACTAATTTGAATACATGACACGTTTTATGGACAACAACTTTTTTTATTCATTATACGACGTTTCAGAGTCAATTCTTGCACCTTCATCGGGTGAAGAAGCAAGAATTAGCTCTGAAATGTCGTATTCAGAACAAACAGAAGTTGTTAATCATAGAACGTGGCAAAGTACTGTGACTATGTGTCCCAGTCCACCCAGCTGTGAATGGGTACCTCGTTAGGATGAGAAAGTCACAAGAACTCGGTGCGCCTAGTGGCTGCAAGAGTTGTATACTCCCCAGGGAGTTGAGATTGATAATACGATGTGCCGTTGAGATTGACATCCAGTGATCGAGGGGAAAAAATACCAGCGCCTTGAGCAAGCACTAGTTGCCTGGATAGTGGATATGTGCGCTATATAAATATCATATAATAATAATAATAATAAATGTATTCATGTTCTTCCAACTTTCTAAATGCCTTTAAAGAAACTGAAATTTGATTGAGGACAGTATACAAAACGGCTGCCAAACAATTTTCTTGCGAGATGAAATCAATCTTCATCACATTGGAACGAATAGGTGGTCGGATACTTTCACACAAGATGGGTGGGGTGGGTAAGCAGGAAGGGCGCCACGCTGAAGATCCGGGTTCGATTTCCATCTTGAATACAACATAAAAAGTATTGTGACATACACACCATTCTTGGTCTGTTTTAATTTCCCAAACCTTGATCACCTTGGTCTCCATGGCCCTTAACAAAGTATCATGACTCATAAAGTCTTAGGACCGCCGCCGTGGTGTAGTGGTTAGAGCGTCAGCCCGGAGAGCGGAAGGTCGCGGGTTCGATCCCCGACCGCGTCATACCAAAAGACGTTAAAATATGGTACTTGTTGGTCCCTGCCTGGCGCTCGGCATTAAGGGGTACAACAAGGACTGGTCGGCTCGGAGTCAGTACAATGTGTCTGAGTGGGGTATTCATGCTTCACTGCGGCATGGTATCTCAGTGTGCTAGCACTATAAAACCAGCTTCAGTCTGGGCTAGTACAAGCAGCCGCACATACACATACACACGCATGCACGTCGTCATATGAGCGAAATATTCTCAAGCACGACGTTAAACCCAATTTCACCTCACCTCACCATAAAGTCTTAGCTTTAGGGTGACGGAGAAATTCGATCTCTTATTGTTGACTTCTGACAGTCAACAAATCCAGTCTCATTTGCAGCTCGGTAACCATAGAAACCATCCCTCTGCGATAATTTGCCCGCGAAAGGTGTGTGAAGCAAGATCTCTGTGACAGTTTCCAATTACAATGTATGTATCGCGAGTTCTCAAGGATCATGTTTTGCATGAAAATTTCGAAAAAGCACGTGCACACCTAGTACGCGATTTGATCTGAGTCAGTGCACGAAATAGTTCACTTTTCAATGCGGGAACACATCACGTATGACTTGGGACTTTTGGAGACTATTCGGGACAAATCTTAGTTTCTCCGGACGTCAGAAGTCATTATGTACTCGATGGTGAAATCTACAACAGCACATCAGGCTGAGTCGGCTTGTCAGCAATTGTTGAAGCGTGAAATCCGCTAATGTTAACTACACAAAGGAAAAACATGTCTTTGAGGTTTGTTTACAATGCGAATTTACATTTGCAAACAGTATAACCTTGATGTGTTAAAACCTGGTTTTTATTCACACTTAAATAAATATTAATGTTTTAGTGCAAGGATGCTATTCAGTAATTATCTACAGGTTTTCTTTGAGCTTCGGAAATCAACGGTTGAATACACATACGATTTCTTCGTTGATCAAACTAGGTCACGTGAGTGCAAATGCGAAAAGGTTCAGCATTCTTTCCCATGCTCCCATTGTTGAAATGTACAACCACTGTTAAAAAAGAGAAGTCTATCTTTCAATCGGGGTTTGTTGTTTTGGTTTTTGTATTCATGCAGCAAGGTCATAAACTTGACAAAGTGCAACATTAATTAGCTAAGGACGCTAAACAAAGGCGCTGTCGACTGATAACACGGTTTCAGCAGATTTCCACACAAAGACCGCTGATTATTACTATTTCTTTACTTTCCTTACGTTTCGAGACGTCTGATTTATTAGGTACGAACACACATGTGTAAGCGATTGCAATCTTTGAAATGCTTTGGATATTCTTAAAACATGACCAACCACATAGCGTGTCATTTGAGCTTTACCGAGGGCAAGGTTCAAGTGTCTGATTAAATACGATTTGGTTGCAGGGTAATTTAAAATGCAATAACCCTTTAGGTGATTTTAAAAGTTTTAAGTTCATGGTGTTTTTGTTTTGTTGACAGTAAATGCTAATACTTGATATATACTTGTTGAACCCGTTACGGGTCGTAAATTGTAATAACAAGTTGGGCCGCTTTTGTTTGTGGTCAGTTGTTGCTTGTAACGTTTAGTGCTTTTGAGATTTGAAGACTTGCTGGAAAACCTTGGTTACCCTTTGGAGTACACCTGGCGTCATGACTGAATTTTAGTTATCCGTTCATATACTAAAGTACTGTCGGAAATAGAACAAAAATGTTTTTCACATTTATATCTACAATTTAGTTAATATGTGAAAGTGTGAAATGTCTGTTGAACTAAGTTCGGCCTAACTACAGTCTCCGTGGTAGAGAGATAGGAAACGGAGAAAAAAGGACTTTACTGAGGAGATATTAGTGCAGAAATTAGCAATGCAGTTTTTTTCAAAGTCCGAAGAGACTTATTTGGAGCAGACCATGGCTTTATGCAAATTAGTGTGCGATGATATTGTATAACAAATGACACTTTTTGAATGTCCATTTTGAAATTAGACTTAGCAGACGAATACTGAAACTATTGAGGATATAGATACCATTAAGTCTCACTATCACTATAAAAAGAAACAGGTAAGAGGGGTCGTCTCAAAAGCAAAACCAAGACGGGTGTTGCTTAGGGTAGTTGGGGTCGGGCTTGGGGATAGAGATATTAGCTAAGATTAGATAATCAGTAGATTATATTCAATACACATGAAAAGCATAACAGATATTTGAGATGACCCCTTGTTTATGTGGCCAGCACGTGCATTTCATGCCAAGTGAGTTGACAGTCTGTCGTCATACCTGGCTGAGCGGCCTAATTGTCATCAAAAGTCTGATCTATTGTTTTAAGCAGTTATTCGTATTTTTTCTAAGTTTTGCCCGAGTTTACGCAGTAAACATGCTTTTATGGATACCCTATTACGCATCCCACTGAACGCCCACTTAGGCCGATGGTTATCTCCCAGTTGACAGACACTGAACTAGAAGGTTAATTACGGTAACACCTACGGATATAATGGAACAGTCAACTGTCTTGTGAGTAGAGCAGGGTGAGCCTGAAACAGGTTCGTGTCTGAGAAATTTGATTGTGGGTAAATATAACTTTGTTGTGATTAAATGATAAATGATTTTTTTCAAAATTGATTTTACTATCAATTACTATCGAATATAAAAACAGGTTTGTCACTGAGAGGTTTGATTGAGTTTATTGATAGAAAAGACCCCTCCCAATAATAGCATATGTACAACAGAAGTTAACTGAGAGAACGTTTTGTTGGAGAGATATAGATATGTACATATTGAAAACATTTCTGATTTGCAGTAAATGAGACACCTGCATTGCCATGTAAGATCAGATTAATACCAATCAGTGTTCTGATTTTAACAATACTTTCTAAAGATTGTAACAGTTTATGTCTTTGAATAGCATACAATGGATATTCAAGGAAGTAATGAAAAACATTCTCACAACCATGGCCACATTGACATGATGCGTCATATTTGAATATATATTCTGAATTAATCGTAATTAAGTGCACTCGTCATATATCATAATATTGTGTGCAAAACATATAACTTCTTTATTCCATATGAATAATATTTAGGTTCACATTTGTCTTTATTTGATTCATATGATACAACAGTGTCGCACTTTCTAATATCTAAGCTAATGTTTTCAATATGATGATGCCGACGCCCGTTAAACCGAAATGTTTATGAACATTACCCATGTGGGGAATCAAACCAGGGTTTTCGGCGTGACGGGCGAACGCTTTAACCACTAGGTTACCCCACCGCCCCTATTCCACAAAGCCGCCATACAGCTGAAAACAATGTTTAGTGCGTCGCGCAGTACATAAATGTTTTCGAGCCCGCGTTAGTTCGTTTCCTGACGTCAACCAATTCCGACATGAACATAATAATGCCTTGACAGCATAATTGTCTCATCCTTACAGGAATAGATAATAGTCGTCACAGCCCTACATTTTACCGGGAGAAATAGCCAGATACAGCGACCTAAGCGGAAGATTCTGCGTTCGACCACATCATCTTTGACGCTGTGAAGACCTGCGTCTGCAGTTCGAGAGCGTGATGGAAATATCACAGGTCAGCATAGAGTAGGACGAGAAGGGCAAGAGTCCAACACAGTCAGCGTAATTGGAATACACGACATTATTTATTTTTATTGTGTTACATGACTTTTTGTTAAGATTGTGATTTGTATTTTTATTTGTAATTACCTTTAATGGATTAGAATCAAACAGGAAGTATAAGGTAATACAGTCTGATATATTAAATGGCAGCGAGTAAATTTGGTCTTGATGTAAGTTACTAACTGGAAAAAAAAAGGTTTTAAGAATGCTTCATTTCAACAACACAGTAGATGTCTATGACAGACAACCTCGGAAGTGACTGCCGGATGTATCGAATTGCATGATACATCTTTTATAAGGATGGGGCAGTTTATTTATTTGTTTTAATGGCGCAGTCGGAAATATTTTTTAAAAATGATTGCGGTCTTTAAATAATCAAGTCTGGACCAAACAATACAGTGATTGACATCATGAGCATCGACCACGCATCAATACGATGACATGCACTCAGCCATGTCAGTGTGACCACAGTTCCCAGAGGTGGCCTCTTACGACAAGCATGGGTTGCTATCCACTTACATGTTTACCCGGAATCCTCCCTACCTGTGACTGGAGGTGGATTTCTTTATCCTTGATGTTACAGTTTAAAACACTATAAAACCAGCTTCAGTCTGGGCTAGTACAAGCAGCCGCACATGCATATACACACGCATGCGCGTCGTCATATGAGCGAAATATTCTCAAGCACGACGTTAAACCCAATTTCACCTCACCTCACAGTTTGAAAGTCATAAACTCGATATATCTTTAAGATGAATACCTTTCCTGTTCCAACTGAATACCAGTTGGATCTCGCATTGATATTCCATTTAAGTTTAACATCCTTTTTTTAGAATATTTGATGCTAAAATCAAACCGATTCTATTGTATGGTGCGCAAATATGGGTATTTAAATACTTTGATTACATAGAAAAGGTACATGTATTTGCCTGCAAGAAATTTCTCGGGGTAAAGATGAGCACATCAAATGTTACGGTATATGGGGAATGTGGCAGATACCCGCTCATCATATCTTCACAAAGCAGGGCGATTAAGTATTGGATAAGGTTATTCAGTATGCCATCCTATCGGTGACCGAAAAAATGCTATAATATGATGTTACTATATGATAAAGAAGGTAATAGGAATATTGGATAACAGATGTTAAACACCTTCTTTTTGCAACTGGATTTAATCATTTATGGTATGAACAAAACGTTGAATGTCCGTCATTGTTTCTAAATACATTCACGCAAAGATTGAAAGATATTTACCAGCAAAAATGGTTGGAAACAATTTCAGTAGCTACAAAATGTAATTATTACTCAATCTTTAAAACACACATTTATACTGAACGTCATTTATCATGTGTTAATGTTAAGAAATATAGAATAGCTTTAGCTCGTTTTAGGTAGGTTTATAAATATTAAAAGAGAGGATAGAATCTGTAGATGTTGTAATAATACTGTTATAGAAGACGAATATCATTTTCTTCTATGCCTAGCATATAATACAATACGTAAGAAATATATTAAAGAACTCTATTTTGTCCATCCATCAATTGATAGATTTTCGTCTCTTCTAACTTCTTCAAATGAATTTGTACTTAAAAATGTTGTATCAAGCCATGATGATAAGAAAATTGTATATATGAAATGTACTGTAGGCCTGTGGCCTCCTCAGTACTGAAATAACGATTGATATTCCCTTTGGTCTCAGCGTTTGAGTAAGTCAACATGTAATCAAGGTTCTAACTGTCTTCAATTCAACAAAACATAATTTGTTCAAGTGAATAGTGATATATAATTTTAAATATTTAACAAATGTTCGCTCGGCATTGTTCTTGTTCAAAAAAACGTATAAAACATTTTGGCAGGACAAATTGTCTACATTTGAAATAAGCCAAATCACTGTCTGCAATTTCTTTCTTGTGGAACATCAAGAGGAGGCATTAATAGTGTACTTGATATGACTTGGTTCAAAAGTAGCTAGTGTGTTAAGACTGAATGATGCAAAATGTCATGATGTGACAGACCCGTGAAGATCCGGGGTAGAATAGGTCTTCAGCAACCCATGTGCTTGCCATAAAAAGGCGACTATCTTGTCGTAAGAGGCGACTAACGGGATCGGGTGGTCAGTTTCGCTGACTTGGTTGACACATGTCATCGGTTCCCAATTGCGCAGATCGATGCTCATGCTGTTGATCACTGGATTGTCTGGTCCAGACTCGATTATTTACAGACCGCCGTCATATAGCTGGAATATTGCTGAGTGCGGCGTAAAACTAAACTCACTCACTCACTCATGATGTGACACATACTGCTATTGATCGTAATGAGCTTACGTCACAGCAGACACGCAGTTAAATATGACCCAGACATGATTTGTTTGATGCCGTTTTTTACAAGCTGACTGATGATATAGTGGACTCAGTTTAAGGGTAACGATGTATTTGATATACATGTACACATGATGTACTGTTATAGCGACGTTTCTTTGCAGATCCAACTGCCTCCACGGTGTAGTGGTTAGAGCGTCCACCCGAATAGCGGAGGTCGCAAGTTGGATCCCCGGGCGCGTCATCCCTAAATACGTTAAAGTATGGTACTTGTTGGTCCTGCCTGGCGCTCGACAGTTATGGGTACAACAAGGACTGGTCGGCTCGGAGTCAGTATGTGTCTGAGTGGGGTATTCATGCTTAACTATGGCATGGTATCTCAGTGAGCTAGCACTATAAAAGCAGCTGGGCTAGTCTGGGCTAGTACACACATACACATGCATGCACGTCGTCCTATGAGCGAAATATTCTGAAGTACGACGTTAAACCCCATTTCACCTCATCTCTTTGCAGATCCTTTTTATGTTGTCAAGCTGGGTACCCGATCCACAAAGCGTTCGCAACGTTACGACCTGTCGTAACTCTATAGTTTACCATAAGCTTACGAATGTCTTAGCACTGCGAACGTTTTGTGGATCGGGACAAAGCTCCTTACCATTAAAACAGTACCCAACACAGCCCTGAAAATCAAATCGTTTGACTGCTAGTGTCAAACGTACATGGATATTGTTTTACCGCGTGGATACAGAAACGGCTCTTTCAAAGCATTCTAAATATGCTCTTTTATCCGACACATAATTACGTCTGAGTATAACAAAGGGAATTTTAACCAAGATTTTTGAGGTTTCAGAAGTCCGGTTGATCCGACCATCATCAGTGATCTTTGTCAATGTTGAAATAATGTTTTGTCATTGTTAAGTTATCTGTCGGATTTGCTTGCGTCAGTGGTACACATATTTTGCAAGATTAAACTTTCACATATAGCATGTTAGAAGTGTTAGAGTAGTGAGTGAGTGAGTGTGGTTTTACGCCTCCTTTAGTAATATTCCAGCAATATCACGGCGGGGGACAACAGAAATGGGTTCCACACATTGTATCCCATGTGGGGAATCGAACCCAGGTCTTTGGCGTGACGGGGAACGCTTTACCACTTGGCTACCCCATTGCCCCCAGTACTCTCACCAGTAAGATAAAGTGTACTATGTATGTAACGAGCTCGCTTATAACGAACTGATATCAGAGGTATATAGTCGTAGTTTGCTATACCTAGTTCATGCTTGACCGGACACAACAGTGTTACCCGTGAAGGTCCGGGTTAGAATATTGGCCTTCAGTAACCCATGCTTGTCGTAAGAGGCGACTAACGGGATCGGGTGGTCAGGCTCGCTGACTTGGTTGACACATGTCACCGTATCCCAATTGCGCAGATCGATGCTCATGCTGTTGTTCACTGGATTGTCTGGTCCTGACTTGATTATTTACAGACCGCCGCCACATAGCTGGAAAATTGCCGAGTGCCATGGAGTACCCTGCCTTGAGATAATCTAGTCCGAGATGAAAACTGAATGGCATATTTTGGTTTCTGCAATAATACGTTGCTATAGGACGGTATTATGTTTGACCAACAAACTGGATGTTATCGTTATACATGAATGACACAACCACTAACAATTTCATCGTCGTCGTCATCATCATCACCATCATCGTCGTCGTCATCATCATCGTCATCATCATCAGCATTATCATCATCATCCTCATCGACATCTCATATCTAAAAAACACAAATAAATAATAATTCCAAAGGCAGCCCAGAACTATTCTTCATTTCAGTTTTAATTAACTTGCCAGTTCATTCTTATCTTGATTTCGACTATTTATTAAAGTTTTCCGCCATTGTGTCGTGTGTGTGTGTGTGTGTGTGTGTGTTGCAATTTCAACTTCACGAGCACAGACATAAAAAATGTCTTTAATTAAACACAGACAGGTGGCACTAATGAATATGTCTGGAATTGACAAGGCATCTAAACTGAAGGAAAATCTATTTTAGAAATCTATATATCGAATACGAATACTTCAACAGAGAGAGCAGTTGTCGATTTTTCTCCCCACAAAAACAAGGATAACGCTGACAGTGAGCTGAAGCTATTATTCACATGGCTCTTCAAACGTCAAATAATGCATTGGTGACGTTAACGATCAAACAACGTCTGGATGTGGGCGTGGCGCGCTGCAATCAACGTACATTCCATCAGTGGTCTTTCACTTTATGCTGTGACGGAGTTTTGTCTATGTATAGAAACGTTGTTTATCCGTATGTTACGCTTCCCATTGAATTCCTTTTGATTATGTTTTTAGACGTGTGAAATTCCTGCTAATACATTCACAAAAGGTTTTGAAAAGAGGGATTTCTAGACTGACGACATTTCACTGAATAGACTCACGCGGATGCGCATTTCAACATTAGCGCCAGTTATCATTAGCTTCATCATGCGATAACACCCCTCGACTCATTCTGTAAACTAAAATTAAAAAACTATTTCCTAAATCATAAGAAATCTGTCTCTACTAAAGGCAGATTCATTGCACGATTCCGACAATATCATAAGCATGTATTTATGAATGACATGTTTCCTTTCAAAGTATATCACCGCTTGGTCAGAGACTGGCCCTTTTAACACTCTGGATCTAAACTGTCAGGCAATAGTTACAAG